CTAATTTGTAGTTAATGGAAATGAGATATGTAAATATAGAATAAAATTATACGTGCTGCTAATTTTACAAACACGACCATAAAAGAAATGAAGGTCGTTTAAAGTCGAGGTCGTCGCGAGAAAGACTATAAAATATATTTAACGTCTTGCCATTTTGTGTGGGACCTAAATCGTTCAATAGTAAGACAATTTTTCACTCACAACGTGGACGACATTAGAGCTCTCAAGCCTGCGTCATTTATCGTCTTTTATTACCAATTTGGATCTTATTAAGCAAATAAATTGCACTGCTAATGTTGTGCACTGCACGATACTTACCATTTTATAATTTTGTGCATCTAATCTTCCAATTTGTTCGATCATTTTTAGCGCATTTTCTCATTTATGGAAAAAATGCACTATTGTGCTCGCCATGTCCGTCTGTCTGTCTGTCTGTCTGTCTGTCCGTCTGTCCGTCTGTCCGTCCGTCCGTGACCTCAAGTTTTCGTCGACGAGAAAATGCGCTCTCTGTCACTCGCTGCAGTGAGTACTGAGTTATATTTTTTTAGCAATGAAGCGTCGTTTCACTTGTACAAGTTAAGCAAAATAATTAATTTTTTTTACAAACTGAAGACTTAACTGATTTTAGAAATTGAAGAATTGATTGATTTCATCAGTTGAAAAATCATTTGATTATATAAATGGAAGAATTTGTTAATTTAATTATTATAAATCTCGCTTCAACATGATTAAGCTTGGTACATGATAAAACACCGAATTTCACCTGAATCGAAGAAGTTATTCACAGTCGAGCTGCGCCGCGGCTATAGATCTCAGTTCAGGCGTTTTCGCGGTGGGTTTTCCGGTTGGAACAACCACGGTTCAACACCAGGTATCACTCAACTCGAGGATTTCAATCACCTGAATATTAACTAATGTGCGAGGAAAAACCTACAAAGAGGGAATTAAATAATTTGTGGAACGGAAAAGAAGATTTGCGTTTTTGCCTCAGCCATGCTGCACTGCGGCTGTCAGAATTTTATGGATGTTAGAACAGCCGTTCAAGAATCGGGTTCAGAATCGGGTTCCGGAGGTTCACCAAGCATCACCTAACTCAAGAAGTTTATCAATTTTATACAACAGCTTGAGGAGTCTATATGGGAGCTTCGTAAGAAACAGTCGAAATGTTTCGAAACTAGTTTTTTCGGTAATAACGTTGCATAAATCAAGATATTCATTCATTTTTTAAGTGCGCAGTGGCTGTTTGAATTGTATGGATGTTTGTTTCACTATCAACTGCGCAGTTGCTGCATTAATTGTAAAGATGTTACACCGGCTGAAAAATGCATATTCGATGGCACTTTTCATGAAGCAACACTAAGAAAAAATGAGGAACTAAAATCCCAAATTCTAAAATGCGCTCATGCATCTGATTTCGGCCTCTTTGATTAGCTTCACCGCAACACTAATAAAACTTAGCGAGTTGCACATGACAAGCAACATGTAGCGTTCCTATCCAGGTGACCGACCCTATCCTCCTCTTTTGCTCTCTGGGGAAGTAGAGGAAAATCTTTCATTCTTCAACCGAATTCTTCCGTATTTACTCAGAGGCTGGTTCACGTCCAACTCGCAATGCCCTGAGGCTGCCCAAACATGATGGCTGCTGAGAGCGGTCGGATTTCCGTCCGCAAAATGTTTTATAAAGTGTGCATGGATCCGCAAAATATGGCGTTTGATGTTCATTTGCACTTTTTTGTTATAGGTCATTATAACTGCAGTAATTGAAAGGTCAACGATACGAATTAAACTTATATAGTGTAACAAAAAGTTCAATCTCTGCCAGCCGAGGCTAGTCAAAAATACTCCATGAATAAAAATAATTTTCTGGCTGTGATTCTGCTGCATTGCCCAGTCAAAATTCTAATGCGCGACCGGCGATGTTATTGGCCGTATTAAGAAGGACAGAGTCGTGAAACTATAACCGGCCATCTAAAACAAAAACAGCGCTGCGCTAAGGCTAATATAGAGAATAACAATGATACCTCGGCAGGAATGGAACCCAGCATGGTTGAACTATATGAGGTTGACCCACGAGAAGTTCCGTCTTTCAGTTTAACTTTCTTGTTACGTCACGTAGATCAAGAAACGTAAACAAACCCGTCATTCCCATGACTGATTGGTTGACTTGTTTGAGCGCATTTCGGTGATTGGTTAATGCCCGTGACGTTACTGAGATCAGTGACGCCACATGCGAACAAAAAGCTTCATCCGCGAAAATGAGCTACTATAATGGGACAACCTTATACTAGTTCAACCATGGGAAAGCAGCGCTGACACAAGGATTGCGCGGCAGAGAGCTGAGCAGATCCATCGCTGCAGGCCGTACATTACGAGCGGGTTATGACAGAGGGAGGAGGGGTAAGAGTTGGAGGCAGGGGAGGGATTCCATCCTTTATCTATTTCATGTGACATAATACCACGTTATTATTTATATACCACGTTATTATTTTATTTAATATCTTTTATTGAACCACAAGAATTTTATTTCTTTCCCCGTTCGAAGACTATCGCGAACAGAAACTTTTGCTCTCAACGGTGCGTGGATTGGAAGTCAAATCAATCAGTTTGTTCTGAAAATTTTTAGCACCTTAATGTACAAATAGCAGAGTATTTTTATATCAATCTATTAAACGATATAAATATAGTATTATCTCCTGAAAGTTAAATGGCTCAGAAACTGCTGCATAAATTAGTAATTTTTTTAAACCAATAAATCGCAAAATTCATTAAACGGTTGATATTCTGATTTTCAAAACTTATCCATACTGATGCGTTAGTATTTTTTTAAATGAAAAATCTACCTCATTTGCCAATGAGGCTTTTATAGTGATGGAAAATAATTACAATTAAATTTATATGTAAATTGAGCTCTACGGTATCATATGAAATCTAAAAAGTCAAAAAAATTATTATTGTGTTTAAATTAAGGATTTATGTAACGAACAAAAATGGTGCTCTGTTGTTCGAAAATTTTATATTTTGCCTCTAGAAGTTGTATAAGAAAGGCAGTAAGGGCACTGCATGTCCGCATCCATTAATTAACGATATCAATAACAAAATTTACCCCATATTTATATTATCCTTATTTCGATTTAATGGTAACTGTTTTCCTATATTTGCAAGTAATTTAAATGAATAATATCTACCCAGTTCAACCACACATATAAGCTATTCCTCGACATGCTGAACGATAACATGTCACTTGCACTATGGCTAAGTAATCGATTGAGGGTAGTCAATCTGATAGTAATTTTTCACTTGCACTATGGCTAAGCAATCGATTGAGGGTAGTCAATCTGATAGTCATTTTTCACTTGCACTATGGCTAAGTAATCGATTGAGGAGAGTCAATCTGATAGTCATTTTTTCACTTGCACTATGGCTAAGTAATCGATGGAGGAGAGTCAATCTGGATAGTCATTTATTTTGTCGAGGTGCTTCAGCCATTGACTTATGACGCTGATGTTTAGCGCTCGACCTTATTAAGGTCCAGCTCATAGAGGCATGTTATTTTAAAGGTGTTGTTTGATTGATAATAAAAGTAGATAATTATGACTTGACTTTACTCGTGTTACTACGGTGCGAATGTTCGCCAACCAATGACCATGTAACCTTTCATTGCATGAGTAAGATATCGGTGATCTAGACGAGAGGAGAAGGAAACAAAACCTTTTTAAATCAAAAGAAAAATTTTCGAGCAACATTAATCTCAACTGCAGGAGGCGCTGCCAGAGCCGCCCTATTGCAGGCGTTTTGGAGCTGTTCGAGCCAGAGGAGCTCGGTAAGAGCTACGTGTTAGCAGGACAGAGTCTCCCAGAGCAGGTACTCAGAGGTTAATTAGCGCTGCTCCGCGGCTTGCGATATCGTCTCCACTGCGAACATTTCTGCTCTATCGCGGCATGTTGCGTCTCTACGTAGACTCTACAGCCGGCGACGGCCTGTTCTTTTCTCTGCTCGAAATTTCAACTGGAATATTATGAGACTTGCAGCAGCATAAAATTTATCCCGGCGGCAATGAGAATTGATCGAATTAGCCTAGACTGGCTTAGAGAAAAATTTTTCACTTGTTCGGGAAAAATCTCATTTCCTATCTTTACTCTAAGAATAAATTATTATAAGGCAAAGGAAGATAATTAGCCGGTAGTTCATTTAAAAGACCAGCAGAGATTATAAGCACTAAAATGTTTGCCAACACAACAATTGGACAGCAACAATAATTTTGGTCGGTAATAAAAGAACTAAAAATTTTGTTTTTAAAACAGGTCCTGATAGTTTCGAGGAAAGATCTTGTGAAACTTGAGACAGAAGGATCGAATGTTGAAAGAATTTATTTCGTACGGTAGTAATTAGTGCTGGACGATTATAGAAAAATGTTTTTTTAATACTGTAGTAATTTTCAAAACGGTTTAGAAAACACTTCCAATCAGTTATATTTTTATAGAAAATTTAATAGTAGTATAGATAATAGGCCTACCGTCACACTTTCCATAAACAGCTTAAATCATAGGTCACCACAACCATTTACTCCGAATCTTGTCCAACAAAATTACTCAATTACTCCCGAATAAAACCTCCTTCAATATTATTACGAATCTTGTCCAACAAATGATCAGGGGTAATTGGTAATTTTGTTGGGTAAGATTTGGGGTAAATGGTTGTGGTGGCCTATGATTTAAGCTGTTTATGCAAAGTGTGACGGTACACCTATTATCTATACTACTTTTAATCTAACCTTGAAAAGATCTTTAAAGATAAGATCTTTTTGTAGTTTCTGGAGTAGAAATTCTTTTTGTGGTCTTTTATATCAAATTATTGTTACCAAAGTTCATTTTCATCTCCCGCGCTGAATGATTCTGGACCAATAACAGTAAAGTTTTTCTCTCCCCTTGAACTGATTTGGAACAAGAACTTGCATTGTCCCTCAATAATTCTTGATTGAGATTATGTCTTATATACGGCAGGGTTAACCGGCAGCACGGTTGAACGCTTCGATGGAGAAGAGGGAGGAAGTTCGTCCCAGTCCGTGTACAGTGAATACGACGACGAAGATCCGCCCACCTTCGCTTTAGGTTCGCAGGCCTTCACCGTCGCGGTCGGTGATACCTTCACAATCCCATGTGACATCATTAACCAGGGTGAGATATGTATCTATAAAAATTTAACCTTACCTGTACTACTTACCTACTTACCTGTAATTATCGCACGCCTGTGAGGTGGGTCTCCCAGAAACATATTGGTTTTGAATCCTTCTGCATTTCTGCCCGCAGGCCGCCACCTGCTCGTGATCCACCACATCAACACCAAAGGCAAGAAGCTCCTGCTGAGCGCGGGTGAAATGAAGCTCGTACGTACAGAGCGCGTACAAATTGACCCTACGGGCGTGACCATTTACGACGCCCAGCGCCAGGACGCCGGCTTCTATAACTGCTCCTTGCCCACTGCAGGAAGTCAGTTGCAAGACTAAAAGTTAAACAAAAATTTATAACCTAAAGATATTGCCGAGATTATAACTTTTAAAATAATGTTATGAGTCTGAAATCATAGAGGCTGATGACTCAATCGAAAATAGTTGAAAATTATTTTTATTCATTATCTGATAAAATGTTGGACGAAATTTATTCGAAAGTTAATCGCTGACAATACTCTTACTTTCATGGGTTCCTTGAATACCTTCTAAAAACACTTCTTTTAGCAAAATTTACCTATATCAGCAATCTTAAGAAGAGATGATAGAAGTGCAAAACTATGTACCAGAATTTATACTACAACACAAGCTGGACGTGCTGTACCCTCCCTCGGTGAACTCGTCGAGCCCCCCGGTGCAGCAAGCGGTCCTTGGACAGCGACTGGAACTTTTCTGCAACGCGGATGGAAACCCGCGACCCGAAATTGATTGGACCTTCGAAGGGGGCGCTCTTCCCGCAGGGGCAGCCGTGAACCAAGTAAGCGATGGGGCTGTTGATGACATCTTCAGCTGTAGCAAAGAAGACCAAAAGAGACGGAGATAAATTACGCCAGTAGAGATAACATCATTTCTTGTTCACTCTATTCTTTATTTCTTAGACAAATATTGTATGAATCTCGTTAAATTATACTGTGAATTTTTTTCGGATTTAATGCATTATGAAGAAACAATTAACTTCTTTCTTTTTCAACTTTAGCGGCATTAAAAATGAGAACTTGTATATATTTAACATTTTTATATTTTTGAATCCGAGGTTGAATAATCAAATCACTGCGGAAAATATTACTTCAACTGATTATTTAACTTTATTCCCAGGCAGGACATCTGGTTATAGAGCGAGTGGATCGTCGTGTGGAAGGCAAGTACGTTTGCACGGCCGACAACGGCATAGGCAACGACTCATACGTCACCCTGGAGGTGGTCGTCGAATTCCCTCCAGAGATCATCACAGAGAAGGCAAGTATTATGTTCCTCCTAGAATGTATGCACAAAGTTTTAATATCATCAAATAGATGAAAAAGTAGCGTTGTTAAATTTCCAATTTTGGCTAAATTGCAGGTAATAAACACTTAATCTTGATAATTTTACAGGTCATTCATAAAGACATCATCAACTACGATTATAACATTTTTCATTTCTTATTTGTCATCTAAGTGGCTGATGAACATGGCTTGTAACCTATCTTCACAGATTTAACAATACATTGTCAGTTCTGACATAATAAACTTTATATACAAAAATTCAGTCGGTGGTGCGCACTGGTGCCGGGGACCAGCTGGAGTTGGTGTGTCTGGCGCGCGGCCGCCCGAGCCCCCGAGTTTCTTGGACAAGGAAAGGCCAGTCAGTGGACCACGCGACACACTCGACCGTCGCAGACGATGTCTACCGCAGCACGCTTGTCATCCGCCCCATGACGGAGCAAGACTTTGGCAACTACGTCTGCACTGCACAGAACATCCACGGGCAGAAGAGCGTGGTTGTACAAATGACAGGTAATGGCCTGTTGCGGTGAACAGCCGGGAGCGGAAGAGCGTGGTCGTGCAGATGACAGGTTAGTGCGCAGTGCAGAGAACAGCCAAGGCCAGAAGAGCGCAGTCGTGCAGATGACAGGTTAGGCATTTTGTATTGAACAGCTTCCCAATGAACGCAGAGCCTCTTTTCCGTTCCTCAAATTATTCAATTCGCTCTTTGTAGTTTGTCCCTAGCGCATTGTAGTTAACAGACAAGGTTTCATGTACTAGTGCAGTGGAGGAAACAAACAGTTGCAGAGCAGAAAAGATATTCTTCAAAAGGAATTGAAGTAAACTGCCTTAAGCACAGAAGTCGTCTTGCAGATCACCCTAGTGGATGAATTCGTTTTATAATTTTAGAGAAGAAAGTGCAAATATGAGCATTTGATCGTCATCATAAGAGATTTTACGCTCACTGGTGAGCATTGTAAACTTGTCTCCATGAAAGTTCCTCGTCATAGCAGCCTTTTTTCGTCCTACATATACAAAATTCTTCCAAATGTCGTCATCTCTCCGAAATTTTGTCTCTACTGGAGGTATTATTCTGCATCCGAGATCATTGTTTCCTTCTGAGATTGTAGATTGAAGTGCAGTGTCTTTCTGTAGATGTCTTTACTAGCCAACAAAAAATATTCTCTTGTTCGACAAAATATCGACATAAGCAAGGAAATAAACTTCGAATGCAAATAAATTTCATAACCTCTAAATGAAAAACTGAATCTAAAAAATGTATAAACAAGCACGAAAAGAATTTCAAGTTTGATGGTGGAATGCACGTGTTCCAACAGGCCTTCCACAGCAGCCTAATTTGACGGGCGTTGCCGGAGGTGGGAAAGAAAATTCTTACACTCTCACCTGGGAAACGGAGAGCTACTGTCCTATCGTCGCCTATAAAATCGTCTTCGGACGAGTGCAGCAGAAATCGGCAGAGGTGATACGGCATGTTTCTTTATCGCGCTGCTCTCAATGGGACATTGAATTATAAAGTTAGGAAAATTCTTGCGTAAAGATCGTGAGAAATATAGATTTTATTGCCAATGGGAAATTTTCATTGTTAGGGGACGCAGTGCAATAGTGTTTAATAATGAGATGTTAGTTATTCTGCTGTTCGGCTTTAAGTCACTTCGGACAGATCTCGTTCAGATATGCTCTGCACTTATTCATTGCTGTGTGATCCACCACGGAGGTATGTGTTACTGTATTATTTAGTCTGTGTTTTTAGATAATTTTCTGTTTAAATTCAGTGGCAGTGTTTAGAGGTGTTCATGACTATTATTTCATTTATCATTCTATTATTTATTTTTCTGGTTTTCATTATATTCTGCCTTTGTTGTTGCTAGTTTTAAATTCTCATTTATTTGTTAATTTCAGAGAGGCTCCGAATCTTGAGTCCAAAGTAAGAACCAGAGCAAAGAGAACACACGGTAATATTTTTTATTAATTTGTACGGTAAGTTTGGTTAATATCATATTTTTATTTTTATTCATCCTTCAATTCATCATCCTTCAATATTCATCCTTTACGATCATAGAGGCTGAGTTAGGGCGTCCCGGTGACTCCAACATCATGAACGTAAGACATTAACACTAATTACTACTAACTCAATCATATAGTTCTATCATATGATGTTATCTGAAATTTATTTAATATTTATGTTATCTGAATTTATCAGAATATTTGGTCATGTATAAACTTTCAGCAGAAATTCAAGCTTGAAGAAGATTTTTACTGGTTTGAACGTTAAAGGATTAATCTCTCTCATGTATTCAATTATAGATTTGTGACATTGCTTAATAAATTCAATGTTTATCATTCAAATTGGCAATCTCAAATGATGCCAATGATGAAAAATTTAATTAAAAAGATATCTAATAATTTTTTCACTACATGTAATCATAACGTTATCTTTGGGATGGCGATTTCCAAAGGGGCGATGGGAAATTTCCAAAGGGGCGAAAGGATTTGGGATGGCGATGCTTGACGAATTAACTTTATTGAAAGTTCTAAGAACCTAGATGGCTTATTTCGAACTCAACCAAGTACTGCTCTGTTTATGTTTAGGTCTTTGGTAGAGGAAGAAATTGAAAACAAAATTATTAAAGATAGACATCTGGGCAATTGGGCACATTACCTATCACTGCATTGCATCGCTCACTCACGTGGATGGTGACCATAATCAAATGAACACAAAATTTAACTGCCTGGAACGCTAATAGAGCATCCGCTTTATCCCAATTTATCCATGAATCAGGTGAACGGCTCTACAGAGAAGAATGTACACGAAATAACTGTTGAAATGGACGTGGGGACTGAGAATGGGAACACACACCCCGCCATGTCGCACATTCTCAACGACCTCGACGCTTCCACTGAATACGAGGCCATCGTCAAAGTCAAGAACCGCTACGGCTGGTCAGCTGAATCGGACAAGTTCTGCTTTGCAACTTCAAGTGGTAAGTCAAATGATGGCGACGGGATCATCAACGCTCAGCCGGGCGAGGATCAGCTGATATCATTTGCGATTAAAAGAATATATACAATAATCTTAGGAAAATTTTCTCCGCGTTGTGTTCAACCTCAAACTCACGATTTTTTCCGGGACATTCTTTGATCTACAGTGAGCCATAACATGGCAATTAGACCTTTCTTTGTATTTTATGTCTCACACATTATAAGTACCTAAATAAAGATGAAAACTTATTTTATTTTCGATTTTTTAAAATTCTTTTCTATTTGCTTAGTTACGTATGTTCACAATCAGCTGATAAATTATTTTTTAATATCATATTTTTTTACACATGAACTTAACCCTTAAGTTGACATTGAATAATCTCTATTAAAAATAATTTATTCGCTCATATTTTGTGCCACCACACAGCCTCGCCCGTCCACCGCTCAACAAGTCGCTCGGTCGGGGGCGCAGGCGAGCGCTCCTCGGCCGCCGTCTCGCTGCTGCTGCCGCTCCTCGCTGCCGCCTCAGCCTGTCAACGATGTCGCGGCTTCTGCGGCCGCATTACGTCGCCGTGATTTGCCTGCTGAGATACCGCACTATTTATCTGCCTCTATTTATCTCACTTGGCCATCGGCACTGTTTCGGTGAAATTCTCTATTAATGTTTGCAAACTTTTTTGCTAAAAATCTACAATATATGCGGAAAATGGTTGGAACTGCCTCTTGTATGCAGTGAGATATGGTTATGACTACTGATATGCGTGATTTATATGAATTATATTTTGGAATCTAATACTAGTGGAAATTACGGTAGACCAATTCAAGGCCCCGAGCTTCCAAATCCATTACATTTTCCCGTTCCAGTGCATGTAAGTTCCAGTGAATGTTACATGTACGCAATTTTATCTTTCAACTCATGCGTAAGACTGAAAATATATAGGGTAACATGGGGCAACGAGCCCACTGCGGGTCATGGGCCCATAACGGATTTCCCGCTAAGTATGGCAGATATTGGTCCGTGCGCTCTACCGCCGGTCGACAGTTTCACTGGAATGAAGTGTGTGGCTCTACGTTTTGCTAAAAGTTTGCGTTGCTAAGCTACTCGCAAATAACTGTTTTAGCCCAGATAAAAGTTTTTTGCTGCTACATAAAACTGTTCTCGATTATGGTATATGCATCTTCTGAAATTACTGTGAATTATATTTTGAAAGTATAATTTATAATGATAATTTTGAGTTAAAGTTTAGACTATTATAGCTTTTAAAATGAAATGTTGACACAATATAAATTGAAATGATACCTAGTGGGGCAACGGGCCCATGCGTGTCACGGGGCAAAGCGCCCATGGTGGGCTCAATATCTTTCTGAGAAGTCTTGTGTTATACATCATTAGATATATCTCAATGAGCTTTTCAAAACTATGACTAGCTTTTTGAATTACAAATTACACTTCATATTGAATGAATTTTTAGATTTTACCCTTCAAGGCAGCAGGTTCTACTTTCTAGTTATGCGTATTTTTGACCCCGTTTCGAATTATTGACTCATGTCTTTGCCCAAAAATTTTATTTCAGCCAACACCAATAAGCCAAAAGTTGATGAGTTTTTTTGGTGTTGACTGGAATCACGATTAAGTACGAATTCCCTGCACATAATATCTGGATTATGGACGAAACTGGAAATAAGTTTTTCTGATCAAGTAAATATATTTTTTTTCTAGTCAAGGATACATTTTTTTATGCCATGGAGGAATTTTTTATGGCAAGGATATATTTAAAGTCCAGGATATATATTTATATGTCATGGAAATATTTTTTTCAGGTCAGTGATAGATTTATTAAGCCAAGAATATATTTTTTTCAAGTTAAGGATACGATTTTTAAGTTATTAATAAATGAATGAATGTAATATTTCTATTAAATTTTCTTATTTTGTACTGTAAAGTGTTGTTTTAGCATTTTTAAACAAAAAATATTCAATTGTGGTAATGGGACCAGGGGTGGGCTCTTTGCCCCAAGCCCATGGGCCCATTGCCCCAGGGGTGGGACAATGGGCTCATTTTGACACTTTTTACAAAATAGTGTTTCATAAAAAATTGAATAACTCCATAGGCGTCTAACTCACATAATACATTTCTCATTAGTTTTAGCTTTAAACAAAACAAAGAACTACCTCGTATCAATTAAAACTTCATCAAAAATTTAGCTTAAAAAAGGGAGGGGCGCGCTGCCCCCATATTACCCTATGATCGCTGTTTTTTTTTATTTCTTTGTAGGAAAACTGAAAATCATTTAACATTTTCTAGCTACAATACAATCAAGAAAATTAACATTTTCTAGGCATATACAATCTATATTATAAGATATTCCATGCTGTTTCGTGCGGATCGAATTTACTTCCACTGATTTTTATGCATATTATACGAGAGCGAACAAGCAATTAGGAAGGAGTTTGAATTGTATCGCAATAGAAATTTTTTATATTTTGTGAGCCCACTTTTTCCCTGAAAACTTATTTATTTTCCTTTAATCTAAAGATAATTATCATTGTTATTTCGCAGTTTCTAATGATCAAAATATTGTTCGTTATTCCAACTTATTTCGCATAAAATAACTAAAATCTTAGGAACCGGATTTTAGAAAGTTTTCTAATTGAGAAATTCAATATTATGTCATTTCGCTTGCCTCTATTTGTAGTAGCTAATATTGGGCTAATTTTATTGCTTTATAAATGGTGGTAAAACATTTTTATAAAGCGATGCAAAACGTAGGTATTAGGCAACCCCCGCATGCGTCCACTAAGTATTGCATCATTTATTTGTACGGGCAACGTTGATAAAGGTGTAAGTTAAAATTTTCATCACTATTACCGATATTATCATTGTATTTCCAAATGTCTGTATATTTGTTCTCTGATAATAATTGATGCGTTAAATTTTGTGCATCGATGTGTAGAGTCCTTTTGATAAGCTGGAGGCATTCCTGTACTCTGGCTACCATCAATAGTTTTCGCCATCTTACGACGAACGTTTATGTACCACAATTCTATTAATTAAATTGTGGAAATTAATTTGTCTTTTTTTGGGATATTTTTGTTATATCGTTCGTAATAAATGATAAATTTAATGCGACTGGGCCAGCTACCTACAGATTCTCTTAGAAATTAAGAGCTCTAGCTGTCTTTGGGGAACAGTATCATGTACAGATAAATATTCAAAGTGCGACACTACACAATATTTTAGACTATAGCGACAAGTGGAATGAATATGAATAGATAATTTGCCCGAATAAAATATGATTTGCTGAACCTTTTAATGGTTCGAAACATACTGGTTTCGAGGCTAATATTTAATAGTAACATCGGGCTATCGGACGGAGTAGTCACCCGAGTATCCATAATCATGACTTGATCACTGTTCTGTGTATGCAATCATATTCATTCTCGAATAAAGGGAGTGATGCTATGACCTTGGCTGTACTCGAGATCCTTTGATGATCACAAGGCATTGAAAAATATCCACAAGCTAATAAAAATTATAAATAAAATATCAAGGTGCTTATGAAATGGAACCTCGGCATTCACGCTGATGAACATTTTCGAGCTCTTATTCATGCATGTCAATACACCATGGCTGGTTTCAGCGCAATTTTTCCACATCATAAATCAAACACAGGAAACGTTCTTCAACAGACAGAGAAACAAGTCGAAATAATCTATCTTTGCTTTTTATCCAAAGATTCATCTTGGCATTTCGCTCTCTATCGAATGGCTATGATTTTTAATGGTTTCAGGGAGTATAGCGATGCTTGACCATTATCATTCGTGGCGCGTGTGACTGATGTGTTGTATTGATATTTGGTACTTGAAGCTTCAATAACTGATGATATATGAGAAATAAATTTTTGGAGAGTAGGACAAAACTAGGAAATCTATAAACAAAATATTCTGCCTTTATTTCAAAACTCATATATGTATAAAGAATAATAAACTTTCTCTCAGCGTCACAACGATAACGAAACCAGTTTACGTTCACTTGCTGCACCTAACAAGGAGGAAAATAATTTCTCTGTTCCGGAATTACTTTCGTTTTAGATGAGACCATAACGATGCTGATTTATTGAAACAAACTTTTGTATTCTTCACAATGTATCGCAGAGCGAATGTTTGAATGAAATGCAGGGAGAAAAATTCGGTTGAGCCGTCTAAGTCAGTAGAATGGTTAATAAGTAATCTCGTTCCACAAATGGTGTAGACAAAAATGAATGGAGGTTTATTGAACTGTCACGATTTTTATATAAATTGCGCAAAAATTGTTAAACCTTTCAACGAAAACTGTTACCCGGAAATGGTTTAATCTCGCAGATAAATCTCAATTGTGAAAGTAGATCCACTTGCCCTAAAAAATAATGCAAGGAAAGAATTGGAACCATAAATAATAATATACTTTTAAAAATTACTTTTTAAAGACAACACTTCCAAAGAATCCAGTATCTCCAATCTTACAGATGTACAATGAATTTCTCATCTAATTTTCGAAAATTAAAAAAACGTATTTTTCAATTTTTTTAATATATATAAATTTTTTTAATATATAATTTTTTCAAAATTATTTATTCTGTTAATTGATTCATGCATTGCCTGTGACTTCACACAAGTGTGCAAAATTTCAGATCAATTAGACAGGTAAAAGTGTGTCAAATATCAGTTATAAGATTTGTAGCTGACAAAATTATTTTTTCAATTCTTTTAATATTAAAAAAAATTTAAATTTTAAAAATCATTTATTTTGACATTTGATTCATGCATTGTCTCCAACTTTAAACAAGTGTGCAAAATTTCAGATCGATAGGATAAGTAGAAGTGTATTCAATTTCGATTACAAGATTTGTAGCAGACAGACAGACAGACAAACAGACAGACAGACAGACAAACAAGAAGTGAAGTTAAAGAGAAGTGTTGTAATAAAATTACTATTTTATTTCAACTAATAAGCTCATTGCAATGTAAATTTTCACTCGGCAAAATTCAATTCATTTCGCAGAAAACTTTAATTGGTTCATTTGTTAACACTAATATCGGCCAGCAAATGCCACGAAATATTCGTGGAATGACAAACATCAGAAAAAAGTCACGGAATAAAATATGACTGGAAAAGTTTTGTAATGATGTGGGCATCTATAGTAAAATTACGATTTATTGATTATTTTTTAGCTGAAATTTGCGAATAGTTTTGCAGAACGTTGTATCAAACATGATAGGAGTTTTATTAATTGGAATTATAATTGGAGCAGGATCGGTGAAGGTTTTACAGTGAAATATTCAATATTCATGCTAGAAATGAAATGCCCTACACAATTGTTCATGCAGGACAAATTTACTGGCCATGAATATCATTAAGTTAAGGATCGATGTCATGCAGTAAAAACTATTTTCCTGTATTGCATAAGTAATAATTGGCCACACTTTAGTTTCCATCTTTCTATCTTTCAGTATATGCGTTAATTTTACAAGTGAATATCCGTCACAAAAAAATTATTAAATATTAGTCAAAATTATAGGGAGCGGGTGCCAAAATA